GCGTTCCACCTTCATAGATCTTCCATCTTCCCTCCCTTAGACGGGGGCCCTCCAGGATAAATGGTCTCAATTATTCTGGGTAGGTGATCTTCCAGGGTCGGGCAAAACCTCGCAGATTCGCACAGGATGACCTCGTACGACTCTTTCTCCAGGCACAATCACCCGCTACGTCGTCTTTTGGACTCACCACATCACTCAGGTGGTCGGCGACTCCTCTCAAGCTTTGCTGAGCTTCCGTTTTCGGCACCAGCAGAACCAAACTTTGCAGCGCTGCCTTAGAGCCTGTGGACTATTCAAGCTTGTGATCATGGCAAAGACCTCTTCCTTGAGAAGTTCCAAGGCCAGGTTCTCAGGGGGCCGGCCCCCCTTCTCATAGAGCACATAAAGAAAAGAATCCCAGACTTGATCATGAAAGTTGTAGAATCGGGGAAAACGCCTCACCAGTTGAAGGCCCATGCGTTCATATAGGGAAATGGCTGGATGATTGTAGGAAATCACATGGACCTGCAAGGTGTGAAAGAAAGCAGGTCCAAGGTGCAGAGGGTGGAACATGTCTTGAGCCATCACGCCCTCATGGGTGGATGTGTGCTGTGGTCAGTCGGACGGTGCACCTAGAAATTAAAGTTAACTGTGTTGATTGATGAACCTACCTACCCGAATGGTTTTAGATCTCGACATGGAATTGCATAGGTGTATTTTGGGGGGTTATTCGTCAACGTCAAATGACCTAACTTCTCTCAACTTGCCACTGGTCCAATGTCCAGCTTGCGCCCTCTGATTTTGACACCTGGGTGCCCTGCAGAGGAACAGCTCTGCGTTGGGGTTAGAGTAGATTGACTGTATCAGGAAAACGGCTGCCGTAGTACTCCGAGGCACCCAAATCGCTTTCAGCTGGGGCAACTGCGCCTGAATGGCCTCAATCGTCTTTCTCAGTAGCGCTTGTGCTAGCCCTCTTCCTCGGGCGCCTTCAACCACACCCAAGGTGAGGATGTAACCCGCCGCGCCAGACATGCAGGCATCAATGCCACCTGCGCATTGAATGGGGGATCAGATTGGCCTCACCTCACCAGCCTCAAGATTGAGCAATTTAGCAAAAAACCCTTTGCCCCCGTGGATGTATAGCGTTCCAATGGAAGGGGCGTTCCCGGCACGACCATCCAACCCTCAACATAAGGGAGTCGCTTCTTGCGCGGAAAAGGGTGTAATTACGCACCTTGCAGCACGGAATCCATGTCATAGCGAGGCTCTGGGAATTTCGTGCGAAATGTGGTGGCGCCCAACAGGATTTGCTGCTCACCCAACAGCACTGCCATGCTTCCCAGGCGTTTGCTCTCAAAGACCTGGGGGTTGACGAGAGGTTTCAAAGGGAGAACGGGATGGGCCGGACAACAGTAACAAGATAGATTTGCAATTCACAATGACATGTACTGTATGATTGATGTTGTGAGTGAAAAAAACGTAAAGTGCAACGGTTGAAGTCTCATGGCATCCGCAAATGTTGTAGTTTCTGGCCTTTGAGATCGTTTGAGGATCTGCATGTTCAAGAGGGAGAAAACAAACCTCACAATAGTCACTGACATACTGAAATGCAAAAGAACACGTGATAACGTGTAATTATATCATTGACTTGGCATTGAATCGATGACCCGCGCCCAAGCTCATGTTCCTCTGCGATCCTGTGTGTGCACGTGCTCGTTATACTGGAGGTTACAATAAGAAACATAAGGGGAACTCACAGAGTGGCAGTGACGACTCTTTC